TTTCTTCTTTCGCCTTAAGGTCGTCTCCCTTGGGGCACAATTCGAAGGTACTCAGTCGTTTGTCGTGCTCGTCATAGGTCGAGGTCGGTCAAATTTGGACCCATACAGTTTTTTTAAAAAATTACGATATTTAGGGTGTGTTTGGTATAACGAAAAATATTTTCCGTGGAAATAGAAAATATTTTCTTGGAAAACAAGTAGTAATCTTATTAATTTTCTGGTGTTTGATATGCAAATTAAGGAAAATGACTTTTCAAGAGTATTTATAAATAATTTAGATATAACAAACATGAAGCCATAAACATTCAAACCAACAAACTTCCGAACGCACAAATTTCCTAAACTTTCAAATCGCTAAACTTTCAAAACCGCAGAATTTCGAACCCGTAAACTTTATAATTTCTAAACCCGTAAACTTCCAAACACATAAACCTCCGAACTCATAATTTTGGAAACATGACTTTTAGTCTAACTATAACAAAACATTCATGACTATAATTCAGTAATGTCAAATAAATTTTGCACAAAAAATTAGCTCAATGATTTATTAATTCGACTACTTCTTATAAGGGTGGCCTAGGATACAACGAAGTCAAAAAAAAAAAAGTTTGGCTTACTATTTAATGTTTCTTATACGAAAGAAACTTTTAAGTTGTGCCCAACGACCAAATTAATATATCAACAGAGCCCATTTTCAATTACACACGTCAACCCTTTAATAAAAGAGAAATTTTTATAAAGCAATATCTTTTAATAATAATTAATCATTTATAGATATTATTTGCTATATTACGAATTATAAATACTTTTTGTGATTATAAGATGTATTTGATATATTTAAACTATTGTATTCATGAATACAGTAGCAAAAATAGACGTGAATCAGAAAAGTCCAGCTAATCATTTGTTGTATTCAAATGTATTCGACTGTATTCATGAAGTGAAACGTGAGATTACAGTTGAACAGATTATTGTATTCGACTGTATTCACGACGTGAAATAGGGAATTACATTATTTTTAAAACGAAAAGTGAATCGATTAACATAATAGACTCCCAATATAACTCAACAAACTCAATTATAACACACAATATTATAACTGATTAAACAAATACTATTTAAAAAAATTATATTTTATAGATCTCTTTTAAGGTTTAAAATAATTAATTAAAAGGTATTTATAGAATATAATTTTTTTAAATAATATTTATTTAAAACAAATAAGATATTAACCTTCACTATAAAAGGTAAAAATTCCTTAATAAAATAGGTAACTAAGCACCCTACCTTGTCCGTCCACCCTCGCGCAAAATACACTCCCTGAGACGCCCGTTAAAAAGTAGACAAACAAAATTGTCTCTCTCTCACTTCCCTTCCGTTCTTTTCCCCAGCCCATCCCATGTCTTTATCTATTTCTCCCACTCCTCCCTTTCCGTTCTTCGCCACCAGCTCCCCCATTGCTTTTCTTTTTCTTTAAAATAGATCTAATTTTTCTTTTTCTTTAATTTCCGTTCTTATTTTGTTTTGATGGCTATTGTTTGTGTTTGGATTCCAAAAGATATTTTTCATTACGAGCAGGAGTTGAAACTATTGGATTTCTCTTTTTCTTGGGAGGCATCACTGCTGGCCTCGTTGTTTAGACACGGGTGAAATACTAATTTATGAAATGATTTTAAGGCGGCAATTCATGCATAAGAATGTTTTATAATCTCTGTTGTTATTATTACTTTGCAAATAATCGTTACTATCTAATAAGAAAGGCCGTTTGTGAAAAAAACATAACTTCTGGAAAATTTCTGGGAGCACTCAGTTCAAACCGCAGGTAGGTGTTCTGTCTTGCCATACAGTGACACTAATTCTAATTGAAATTGGCTACACAGCTTCACTCAAAATCACCTAGATACATAATTGCCTTCAAATTATTAAAGATTGTAATAATTCATTTGACACCGGCGTCACTAAAGATTGTAGTTATTCAGCGTCACTATTTTCTAACAGGTTCAAGAAAATGAACTATTTTCTAACAGGTTCAAGAAAATGAATTTTCACTAGAGTTCAAGGTCCTAAGTTACATAAATGTAAGATCAAGTTATCTAATATATTAATATGTAGTGCTGATATTTAACTCCAATCTCAGTGAAATATTCAAGATAGGAGGTGATGGACTGCACACATTTTATGAGTTTTCAGTTACACTCACTACCATCAATAGGCAAGGTGGCATATATAGTTCGATAAACTCAATACAAGAACATATATAATGGATTGTGTAGGCAAATTTCAAAAAAACTTAAATACAATTAAAAGCAATCTTGTATAGCAGGTAAAAATGTCGTGCTGTGATTTAAGCCCAATCTCGTTGAGAAGAACCTGATAAACAGCACTAACTTTATGAGTTTTTTCAGACCCTAACCCCACTATATGTTCAAGAGCAAGAGTATAGTTAAACTCAAATCATTTAAGTAAGACATACAAGTAGAAAAAGAAAAAAGCAAGGACAATAATAAAATTTAAGCCTCAGTGAAACCCATTTTAATCATGTTCAATGTAGAAAAACCAAGGAGGTTCCCCCTGCAAAGCAGGGACCTTGGCTTCACTACACCTCATAGTTGGATTGAAACATCATCGGCTGACAAATTACCAAAAAATTGGTTCGTTTATTTGTCAAACAAAAGATAATGGTAGATAAAAATAAATAATTCTTAATCTCAGAGAAATTTAATAATTTCATGATATTGTAGTAGCCTCAAGGGGTTCTCCCTGAAACAGGGTCTTGAGGCTAACTACAATCTCAAATACTATCCAGCAATTTCAGATATCCTCATCGATTTAATTATAAATTTAAAAATAATTACTTTACAAAAATTAAGAGACTCAGGTATATAAACAGCTCTATCAATCACAGAATATCAGAAGCAGAACTGGCATTAAAGCTGTATCTTATATCATCACTGCCAACACACACATAAAACAAAGATCAAAATTATAAAGATACTGAATTTACAATCATGAAAAATATATTAAAACAATAGGCAACAAATATTTTGTAAAAATATAAAAAGAATTAATTTGGCTCATATTAAGAAATTCAACCAATTTTTTGTTATGCTTCATAGATTGCTCTCAGAAGCGCGGATAATTCGTTTTAATCATCGCCAAACTTTAGTCATGAAAAAAAATAAATTATAATTGAAATTAAAATTTAACAAACAAACAAAAAAGCTAAACGTAAGCAGAGACATGTAATAATTGAAGACAAAAAGAGAATATAGATCGAAAACTTATGGAAGGGATGTAGCCGTTGATTTGACACAGATTAGCCATAATAAGAAGGTACAAAGGAGCTAAACTGCAACACTTAGCGGCGGGTAAGTTTAGCACGAGCTTTGGGGCTTCTAACTTCACTATTTTATACTCAGATGAGCCCGGGAGGCTACGTGCAATGATATCTTCTGCTTTAATATAATGAGAAATATAAGAAGAAAAATTCAACTGTAAACAGGAAAAAATGGAGAATTATTGGAACTTCATTGAAACAGAGGAGCGATGTTTGGAAGCAATATTCAGAAAGCTGAGAGTTTTGACTTATATAGCAAGAGGCAGCGCCTCTGAAACCCTAACTGATGTCCCCGTTCTGGATCTGGATCGGAGAGGTGAAGGCCCAGTACGCGTTACGGATCACTTTTCTTTCAATTTTGAAAGTGGGTAATTTGACAAAAATAGGATTATGCTGTGCCGCCGTTTAAATTTTGACCCGATAAGAATAATATTGGAAAAATAACCTCCAAATAAAATTTTGGAAAAAGCTCCTGAAAAGTTTTTACCAAAATTTTGGTTATATGCTATTTTTTTCAAGACTTTACTTAACCATGTCAAATTTAAATGATGGTCCTAAAAATGTCCACCCAACATAATTTATTTTTTAAAGCTACTATTTAAATTTCGTCCCATGTTAGGTCATGAGTTAACTTTTTTTTTTTTTTTTTTCTGATAGTGGTATTCGGCCTGCTTGTGCACCCTATCTATTCTATTGGATGTCTATTATCTTTTGCAAATATAAATATCGAATAATTTTGTCCACCAAACTTAAGCATTAACTTATGATTATATTTTTTTGGTTAAATTCATCCAACTATTTTTTTAAAGCTTAGCTTATTAGACTAATGAAGACGCAATTTAAAGAGTGGCCTCAAAGAAAATCATAAGGTGCAAATCCTTAATAATTTGCAAGTTGTGAATTTCAAATTTCTAATCCGGCCCACAAATTTCAGGTGGTTTGTAAAAGAAAAACTTGCACCCACTTCAAATATATCTCAGTGTCCATAATTCAGCCTAAGTCGATTTTTTCTTTTAAAAAATGGTATTTTTACTTTTAGGTTTTTTTTGATATTTTTCTCATGCCTTTCTTCATTTACTAATATCCATCATACGAGGCCTTGAAATAAAGTATGACATAACAATATCGAAAAAATCTGAAAAAATGACAATAAAGCTATTAATACATTATAGCACAAATTTGGAATTTTCTATTAAAACATGGTAGATTATTCTTCTAAAGTGCATCATCTCAACACTATAAAGTTTAGCATTCACTTTCAGTAGATGATCCGCCCAAAGTCATTAGATGTGTAAAAAATTAGGCATTAAATAAATTATGTTAAAAGTGTATGATTTTGGTAAAAACTTCTCAGAAAATGCAACAATCAAACAAAAATATGAGAAGCAGATCTAACTCATTGATACAGTTTTGGGGTACTTAATAGACAGTTAAAAGATGACTATTACACTATGTAATAAGTGAAGGCTTGCCGTACGATGAAGGGTATTTCTGGAAAGCTAGCTTGCTTTTTGGATAATTTAGTAATTTGTGTCATTCCATCTTAAAGACCTTACTGCAACTTTGCATGACACGTATGCCATCACTTATTCCTCTTGCAATGAATGGGAAACACGTAGTCTTTCTTTTTAAGTTTCATTTCATTGTTCATACCATTATTTCCTTTCTTTATTCCTTCTTCTCTTTGTATGACTCCTGAATCTTTTGTTCCCCAAAAAACTGCTTCGTTCTCTGATAACTCAATTTTTATACTCATCCCCGGAAAATTTTAACTAGGATATGAATATCTATTGGAAAAGTACAAATAGAGAGATTGAGATATTGAAAGTTTTAAGCTAAAGCGTAAAGTCAAGAAGCCGGGTCATGTCTAAAAGCAGAACCATTGTATCTTCATTAAGGTAGTTTTTTATGCTTGAGTCTTATAGTGTAAATACAGAATGAGATTATATAATTCCGATTTCCTTTTTTCTTTTCTTGATTTTTCATTTTTCCAACTCTACTATCAAATCTTATCAGCTTCTCTCTCTGTATTCATTTTTCGAAGTGTGAGCTATTTGTTTCGGTGAGTTTAATTTCTTCTGCAACCTTTCTTTTGTTTCATCACTTTCTTTGGCAATCACCATTCCTTGGGTATATTAGATTTTCTGTTCTTTTGGATTGTTTCTTGTTGAATCTTCTACATGCATGCCAATATTTTTTCTGATTTGCCTATGCATGTTTGGGAATAGATACCTCGATTCAACTTGTGAGAAATACTGCAAATAATATTTGTTTTCAGGATATTTTTCCTAATTAAAGCTGCTGAGGTAAAGCTTCCTTTTATTGAGGTAAATACTATTAGTTCCTTCTAATTAGTTTCCTATTTTCAATATAATCTATGTTATTGGAAGTCTTATGAATGAATGACATTAACTATTAGTATAAAGATAGCATCTATCTTTCTTCTTTGTCTCGTTTATACAGTTTGATTTTTATTCTTTTTCTTCCTTCCTGTCAATCCAAAAAATATGAGGATCTTGGCATTTAAGCTAGACATCATTGGCATTACATATTAGATTGATAGTTTTGATTCTCTTGCATAAATAAATTTTACTTTTTCGGCCTTATCTATTTTATGGATTTGAGATGCAAAAGGCATACCTGTATTTTGTTAAATATAGATTTACAGGTATTAGAACACCATGTCACAACGAACCGGCATCAATTATGAAGCTACGATGATCATATAACACCAGCTTTATCTGATTAAACATGCAAAATGCAAGTTGTAGATAAAAATCAAGAGCGAGAAAATCTTCACAATAAAAAGAAGACTTCAGAATTTTATCTTGCAAGATGAAGAGGTAATTTGATTTATCTTCTATCTAATTGTAACGACATGACCAGTCGATTTGAGCATTTGCACTTCGCTCGGTAGTTTCGGGGCACGAGTAGCTCTGTATGATGTATTAGGACTTGTGTGCAAAATTTAAGTTTATTCCGAGTTGATTTGATATGTTTCGGCATGAGTCATTGGAAGTCGAAAGTTCATTAAATTTGATTTGAGGTGTGTTTCGTCGTTTCGATATTGTTATGCGTGTTTTGAGGACTCGAGTAGGTCTGTATTATGATATGGAACTTGTTGGTATATTTCGACGGAGTCCCGAGGGGCTCGGGTGAGTTTCGGATAGGTTTGGGTTGTGTTGCGCTCGTTTTTCTATGTTTCGACGTTGTTTTTTCAAGCATAAATGGTACCGCATTGAACAAATGAGCTCCGATTTCTGTTTTGATTGAAGCATTAGATCTATATCGTAATTACGGAGCCATAGCAAAAAGAATCGTCAAATTTGGACATCGTATGAGGATTGTATGGTCATTTTACTAAGAATTGGGTTGCGAGATTTTTCAGATTAATTACGAAATTGCCAGAGCTGCGTATTTAAAAATCGGCACTATTTTCAAATATTGAAACCAACATATCTCCTTCAATATAAGTTCAAATGAAGTGATTCAAGAGCCTAACTTGATTAGAATTCCACAAGGACTCATTGGAGGTATCAAAAGTGAGTTTCAAGATCTTTTGGCATAAGAAATGAGATAGAACAGTGTTAAAACGACGGTATTGTGCATTTAACATATTTTGAGTTTTGAACATTGATTCAGAGTTGGATTTGAGTGAAACTAGTATGGTTGAACTCGTAATTGAATGGGCTGACAGATTTTGTGAGTTTTGTTGGGTTTCGAGGTGCGGGCCCTGGTTGGACGTTTTGGCCGATTTTGGGCTTTTGATTAAAGATTCAACCTCTTTCTATTGGGATTGGTTCCTTTAGCATTGTTTGATGTATTTGAGTTATTTTTTTATTACTTTCGAGTCATTCGGAGGTCGGAAGACGCGCGATGGGATTCTTGGAGCATCGTTTGGCTTGATCGGTGTTGGAATTAGCTTGTTTAAAATAATTAACTCTTCTAAACTTAGTGCTGAGGGTATAAAATCCCAAATTATTTGTGTTATGTGATTGGTGTTGAGGTAACGCACATGCTAGGTGACGGGCGTGTGAGTGTGTACCCTGTGAGTTGTGACTTTGTTGTTTCTAGGGCACTGAATAGTGGCCCTATTTTATTGATATCTGTGTTTTCACCATGTGATAAGATAAATAAGATGTACATCATGCTAGATATCATGTTTAGGCTTTATGTTGATAATGTTGAGACCCATAGTGGTCGTTTCTTGCTGTTAGGGGTGTTCATGGTTCGGTTTGGATCGGTTTTTCCCTAAAAAGAAACCAAACCAAGTAAGTCGGTTTTTCAAATATTAGAACCAAACCAAACCAATTAAGTCGGTTTTTTCTCGATTCGGTTTATGTCGGTTTTTCGGGTTTTTCGATTATTTGTCGGTTTTTTCTTAAATATAAGACATACACTACTAAACACACATTTCGGCGACCACATTTTCAACTTAACACTATCAAATCAATTGCCCTTTGAGAAATCTATTATTTACCAAGATATATTGATGATAATTGAATCAAATAGTGATGAATAATTTAAGGACTCAATTAAAAATATATTATTTTTAACATGAAATAGATTTTTACACTTACAAAAGAAAACTACCAACTAAACTAGAATGTAAAGGAAAAAAACTGTACTAAAAGTGCAAACGATTAATATCTAGTTTATAATTTTTAAAACTTTGTATAAAAGTATACATATATATAGGTGTAATAATAAATTTAAAAATAGCTACTCCTATATTCGGTTTGGTTCGGGCTTTTTTTTTAATTAAAATCAAAACCAAACCAAATTTGATCGATTTTTAAATTTCAAAGCCAAAACCAAACCAAACCAAAAAGTATCAGTTTTTTTGGCCGGTTTGGTTTGGTTTTTGGTTTGGTTCGGGTTTTCGGATTTTTATGAACACCCCTACTTGCTGCCATCTCATTGAATTCATTGATATTTCATACTTAGTCACATTCATGCATTCATATCATATCTTAGTCTCAGTTGTTACTTATTGATACATCATATCATTGTTCCAGGTCAGATTTTGTGACATTGTGAGCCCGTGGGTGAGACTGGAGAGATTGATGACTGAGTGAGGCCGAGAGCCTGATTATGAGTGACAGTTATCGGATTAGGCTGCACACCGCAGCAGATTATTGATTATGCCTTCGTTGGCTTGTTATAGCGCTTGAGATGAAGGAACCCCTCCGGAGTCTACATACTCCCAGTGAGCGCGGATGATATTATTGAGGGTTGACTTTCCCTAGACATGGATTTGTCCGAAGTATTAATATATGGAAATGGATTTCTCCACAGGGATGGATTTCCTTTTTTTCTCGGTACCGAGTGACGTCTAGTCATTGTTGAGTATGTTCCGGGATGGATTTTCCTAGGCCGCATGAGCCATATACGGTACCGGGTGGTTGAGCATTTATATATTATTGAGGGATGAATTTTCCTGGGCATGGATTTGTCCGAAGTACTTGATACCTGGAGATGAATTTCTCCATAGGGTTGGATTACCCTTTATCCTTGGTACTGGGCGACTTATAGTCAGTGTTGTATATGTTCCGGGATGGATTTCCCTGGGCCATATACAGTACCGAGTGGTTGAGTGAGATGTGGTGAGGATGATTACTCTCAGAGTGTGAGTACATAATTCATCTCTGAGATACATGACATTGGCATGCATATATGACGTACATGCATAGAGACGCATTTTCTTCATGTTGTACGATGTCACATCATTCATGACTTTTTACACATTGATATGTGGGCATAGAGTGGTATTTCACACTTATTACTTGGAAAAGAAATGAAACATTTTTATCGTGGAAAGGATTTTTCAGGAAAATTACAGTTTTTAAATTATCTCAAAAAATTTCGATGATTTCGATAAAGAATTTGGGTTTTCACTGATATCCTTGAAAAGCGGAACTATTTTCGGAAAATTATGCAAAAGCTGAACATTTTTATCTATGAGATTATTTCCTTGTTTATATGTTCTACGTTGTATGAACTGCTATTGGTTATTAGTGTTGGACCTGACCTATGTTCCGGCTCGTCACTGCTTTCAACCTGAGGTTAGGTTTGTTATTTTTTGAGTACATGGGGTCGGTTGTACTCATACTGCACTTCCTACACATTGCGTGTAGATCCCGGATGCCGATGTTGCTGCGTTCGATGGTTGCTGGATTTGAAGGCGTACCTGCGTTTTTGCTGCAGCTGCCTCTTGTTCACGGTAGCCTTAGATTATAAAATTCTGTTTATGTACTTTTCAAACAGAAGATGTATTTTCTTCATATCTGCTTTGTAAACTCTATTCTTAGAAGCCCATGATTTGTACTACCAGTCCTTGGGAAATGTATAAAATTCAGTTAACTTCTCTATTTAATTGTTTGGTTGACTTTAATGGAATTGGATAGTTATTAGTTGGCTTACTTAGCGGGTTGGGTTAGGTGCTATCACGAGTAATGGATTTTGGATCGTGACACTAATACAACTAACTTAATCTAATTATATCTATTGTTTTATATTGACACTAATAATTTACCATAACAACAAATCAAGAAAGTGTATAACAATGGCATTTTATATTATGGAGAAAAGCTTGAGCTCTTTCAACGGCTTGAATCAGATGATCTTAGAAGTTTATTGCATGTTTCAAGTGTTGTAGAACTTGAAGCTGCAATTATGCTGCGCAACACATCACGACTATAGAAAAGCGGCAAACTGGATTATTTTGCTAATGGGAGCTTCAAGAAAAAGGCTTTGAAGCTCAACTCAAGATAGATATGTTCTTCTATGGCATTTACAACTAAATGTGGTGCACGATAATTATATTTGACACTGTAATTTGAAATTTTAAGATTCTCCGTCACCAATCTACACGAAAATAAATTGTGTATCAACCGGTTCTAAATGTTGATGTTCCAGGATAGAATTTCCCCTCTGTAGTTTCTCATTTCATTATTGTTTGTGCTTGAGTTAGCAAATAGAGTCTAAGAAGAAGTCACGTGCGCTGAGGAATATCCTTGCATAAATATAATAATCTATGCAGTTTCTTAGTATTGTTAATAATGTCTGTACTCCCTACAATATATAATTATTTTATAGGTCGATGTATTAAAATTAATTAGGGCGTACCATATAGCTGTTTACTTGAATTGATAAGTTTTTGTTTATGACATTTTCCTTGAAATTCTTTGGAAGATATTTTAAGTGACCAAAAATGATAGAAAAATATGTTGATCCCACTCCAGACGAAGAACTAATGCACCAAAAAAAGTAACACAAGCTTCATTGGAAAAATAGAAGTCAACTCATATATCTCCATCATCAAATTGAGGAGAATACGTATTGATAGGTACTACTTTCTTATTCGTACAGGGATTGGCATTGAAAATAATAAGTCTTTATAAATTGACCTTTTTGAGTTACTAAGGTAGATATTTACTATGTCACCTTCAAAGTTTTTTTATAAGATTATCTAAATAAACTTGTGTCAATACATGCTCTATATATATAGAGTTATGACATTGTCCCAAAAAATGATATTGATTCCTAGCCAGAGCATGCAAGAGATGTGTCCCATTATTTATTAAAATGGTTACCAATGAAGTTTCAAAGAAGCTTGTTCCTGCTTCACTTTAGCAGTAGCAGCTGCTTTCCCACGGCGGGTAAATTAGAGGTACCTCTATTTTCTTTGCTCATTATACTTATTACTAACCTCTATTTTTATAGTTGAAGGTTTCTGCAGGTTCAATTTTAGTTTCTTAGAGCTTAGGTGTTTGGAACTGAATTTGATAATGTGAGTTTATACTTTCATTCATTTTAATAAACTTTATCAATCTCTTTACTATATTTTGATGTAAGATCGTGTTGTGATGTTAAAATAGATGATTTCATAGGGTTGCCAACAATTTCAGTGCCATCACAGCTTAACATACTTATCATGAATCACAAGTGCAGGAAG